AAAGGTCCTATAGGAATCCCTTTTGGGTTCCTCATGTTGGTTTCATCCTTCTAAGTGTTAGAAGTCGATAGCACACACGCGAAACCACAAAAGAGTACAGAAGCGGGTTGAATTTTTTTTAAAATGAGGCGGGTCCAATTTCTAAGGTTCTAAGATAGTCGAAGGGAGATCCCTAAGGCTAGATCCTAAACCCTAAGCGGAAGACTAGACCTCACTAAAAATGAGGTCAACAGGTAGCCGATCGTCCTTATTGTTTGCGTCTACTACAGTGGCTCGGGCAGAAGCTTGCAAAAACTCCTCTGTCGAGTGAAACCGATAGGGATGGAGAGCTTGCGAACAAAACCAAGAGGAAGGGAGAGGAGTATCGAGAGAGTGGAGCATAAATTTTGACAGCTTTGGATGGTTCGACGCTTCCCAGGCTAAACATCGTGTGGTTTAAGTCGGTGTCTATAGCAAATGTACGGAAGTTTAGAAAATAATTAGGTTTAATTAATTTATAAATTCTAATTTTTACCTTTTTTAATTCGTTCATAATTTATATATAGCATTATATATCAAAATTGATCGATTTTTTGTGTAGAATTTTATAAAATTATTTTAATTGAAACCTGAAGGATTCGAAAATTGGGATATATTTTTAGTTGCCGAAATTTTTATACAATGTCTAAAAAATTTTGGTTATTGCACACAAGGCAGCCCCTACTAAGTATATTTCAGGATTTTTAGACATAATCTACGTCCTAAGTTGCCATGGCTGAGGGAGGTCCAACATGTCCTCACTTTAGATAGAGCAGAGGAGTCTCTGAGCCATTTTTGGAATACCATTTGGAATAAGCTGAGTGATGAATACCAGTTCAATTTAACAGCTCACTTGGGGACATATGACCATATATGAGCGACGAACAATTTTGAAAGTCACCTTAGGTGTTTTGTGGAAAATAACAACCAATAGTGGAATCCGAGTCTTTTCAGAGAAGAAGAAGCTTCTCCTAGCCTAGGGGAATGATGCAGAGCGTTGGTGCAACATTCACATAAAGTAGAATCTGGTCTTTTCCGTGGGATTGCGAGAAATACGTGACCACGATAGAGGACAGAGCTATTTTTGCATTTTTTTTCTTTCCTTTTTTGATATCTTTTCTATTTCTATTTAGGTTATTTTCTGTGAAGAGACTATTTATATCTTATATATTCTTATTTTTTTCAGCTTACTCTTTGTTTTGAGTTTAGGGAGATTGTAATCTCTATTTTCTACCTTAAGGAGTACTGTATCCTTTTATTTTGCTAGGGGGGTGCCTGTATCTTACTTAAGAATGGGTGGAGAAACCTCCTCACCGCTTGAACGTCACCGATTCGGAGTTTGCTTTGTTGTTTTCAACCGAAATGCTTATCACCTTCTCAATGCATTTGACCTCACATATTTTTGTTTTGTTGCTTTTCCACAATTACTAAACTGCAAAATCCGCTCTTCAAATACCTTCTAGAAACTTTAAAATGATATCATGAACTCTCATGAATAGATATATTATTGGCTTTGGCCTAATGATTCCACAATTTTGTCTCACTGGTGTAACTTCCCAGAGGTCACCCATGCTGAGAGTGCTGTCATACGAGCATGCTTAAAATTGGAGTTTCTGATAAAATTTCAACCATGACAGCAAAAGGCGCTTCAATGTTTAACAATTCCCCTTAATTCTACTTAAGGGGTTTCTCATCTTGTTCATGGGTCAATTCATTAGAGTCATAGTTTTTCAACTAGGGCAACTTCATGTTGGACTGTAACATTCGTTTATTTTATTTTATTTTTTGTTCTTGTCTTTGCTGTTGAAGGTTGTCTGCTTTTGGAAGTAAAGTTCCTGGAGGCTGGCGTAGTTTATGTTTTTCTATCTACTGCTGTGGTTTTCGCATTCTATTATTTACCTATTATTATGGCCGATTTCCTATTTTAGTGGGCATTGTTTGGGCATTTCTATTTGCTATACTTGTAGATTTTATTCTGTTTTTGGGAAAGATATCATGCAATTATTTTAATTATTAAGCTTGGATAAGTATGATTTTGCTTGTTATTTAGAATCAGGTTTGCAAATCTTGTAAACCATTTTTGCTAACCCCCGATTGACGAGTTTATACGTAAATATTTTGAGGCATGTCATTTGATATTTTTGATTGAATAACAAGCTCTTCTAATTTTAATCTTGTGTTTGCATGTTGGATGTATGAGTCACTCTAGTGCAATAAAATGTGACTTCTAATTCTGGTGAAGGCTATCTTTTCATGTTAGCATGAGGCCTGCATTTCTTACTCTAACAAACTCTTTATTAATATAATTTATCCTAAATATCATGCTATGATTCTTTATTTTGTTTAAATTTTGCATGGCTAGAATATTGTGGTGATTAAAGTACAATTTCTTGTTGATTTTGCATGGTTCAAAATTTTATTTGATTTCTTCAAAGTTATTCAATGTTTAAAACATTGATTGGGTTTTCAAGTTTATATATTAAGAGAGAAAGATATAATCTAATTAGTGGTCTTTGATCTTAATTTTATTCTTATGATCCGCATTTATTGCAACATTTTAATTACTGGAACCCTATACCCTAAATCATTTTGCATAAACGCTAGTTCAACCGGATTGCTTGGTTTTGAAAATTATGTTGACCATGTGAAACTTTGCTTATGAGACTGACCTTTAGCTGACCAGCTTACGTTAATTTTTAAGGCTAAAGGATCCTTATGGAGACTTGTGCTGCATTTTGGGGCCATTTAAAATCATTAATGATGTCATTTTGATTAAAAGATTTTATATCAAGTCAAAAGTTAAATTATGTGAGTTAAATTAATGAAAAATTTAACATCATTTGAAGAAGAAAATAAAAAAGAGAATTTTTGCAAATATACTTATGATTTATCCTTGGAGGCCAATCTGTTTATGAGAAGAGCAGCGAGGTCATAATGGCAGGTTTTTAAAAATTTGAATCTTTATAAAACATAATTTATATAACAATGAGAGATGAGTGACATTTATGCAAAATGTTTTTATTTTTTCTCATCTAATTTGCTGGTATGGTATTTAGGTTGCATTTGCTTTATTTTGGATGGCTGTGATTTCATTTCTCTCTCTACACCAAGCTCTTTTATTCTTGTATCTCATCTACCTTTTTTCTGTGTGGGGCTTCAATCAGCATGAGCGAAACTGTTATATGTGTGGTTCCCCAGATCACTTGATTAGAGAGTGTCCTCATGCCAAAACTGGTAAAGCACTGTCAGACTTTCATTTAGGATTATATGCCATGCAAAGTTTTTAATGTTCGGAATGCTCTGTATTCATTTGTTTAGGAAATGCTGTTTGTTCCGGGGGCATTCCACGCTACCAAGAAGGCTATTGGCATGGGGCCTCTTTGTCAAATGTTAGGCCTTATGCAAATATATATGGCGTCCCTCCTCTAATGCATTTTGATCCAATGATGTTTCAGGCCCCGACTTTTGCCATTTCATCATGCATGCCACCCATGTATGGTGGTCTGGCAGCTCCCTAGTATGTTCTCTAGTTCTACATTTTTTCATCACTATTTTTTGTTTCTGATGCCCTGTATCTTGGAAATTTCGGCTGGATTTCATTGTGTTAGACATCACGTTTTTGTTTTTGATATTTGCAAAATTCATTTTTCAGTGGATTCATGAGAACAGGGGCTGTCCCACATGTCATGATGCCTGGAGCAGAGCCTAGAATTCATGCTGCTGAAACAATGAATAAACAAAATGGTGAAGGGAAACACTATTATGGATCTCGTGGGAGGTAACTCCGGCTAGTTTACTCTATTTATACATATACATATACATCTATATAGATATGTATATATATATATATATATACATATAGATATACACTCACACTCACACACACACACACACACACCTATATATGAGAACACTTAGGTGAATGAATGGCTTTAAACTTAGAGACAAAATGCAAAACAAATATATCTGCGAATGGGTTGGTGTAGCTCTAGTGACAAACAATATTAGAGAGAGTTGTATTAGATGGTTCAAACACAACATTAAACGTTGACCATCTAGTGATCTGATTAGTGGAGTAGATGTTGTATGTGTGTGCGTACTTGACTGAATTCCGATATTAATTTAAATTTGGAGATTCCACCTGACCTAGTGCAACTTTATGACTGTCAAGGCTACCATGCTGTTCATGTCTATTGAAGGTCTGATTTTATCACGTTCTTTTACCTGTATGGATGTTTTTTTTTTCAGCTGTGTGATTTATCATTAAATGTGTGCAGCTATCAACTTATGCTGTGTCAAAGTAGTTAAGTTGTCTTTGATCATGTACGGGGAGAAGCTGCAATCTTTCGAACTATGTTTTTTTCTTGATCTGTATTGTTTTGAATGCCAACTAGCATCACATACTAATGCTATTAGACCATGTTCTTTAAAACGATGACCTAAGATTCAAATTTCTATTGTTTCGGAAAATGGTAAAAAAACCTTATTTTTTTTATTTGAGAAATCAAAATTGTTGGATAAATTGTGCTTCAAGTTAAAAAGACTATAAAATAAAGACTTTTTTTTTGGTTGTTCGGATTTTTTTTTAAATTCTTTTGATTTTTTAACTTCTCTTCGAGACTGTTTTGATATATCTTTTATTTTATTAAGTGCACCAAATGCGAGATATTAATCACAAGAACATCAACAACAATGATGTTTTAAAATAATTAGTAATATTGTACAAGCTTTAATCGTAATTGTCTCTATATGCATTATTCAAACTCGTATTTTATTAGCCATCAGTTGCCCTAATCCATTCTCAAATCAAATCATGTAGTTTAAAATAATTACTGTATCTAATTTTAGGCATGTAGTGGATACCCATGAAATGGCCTTTACATAATACTATAAATTGAGATTGGACAATAAACATTTTTAACTAAAAATATTATTCATTAACATACATATAATAATAGCATTGATAGTGTATAATAGAACACACTAAAGTAAATGCCATTCATCAGTAAATTAGGTTTTAGAATTTTACTCTCAAGGTCATTTAATATTATATTTAATATTATTTTATAGGGTTTACATATAATATTTGTAAATAATATAAAATAGTTCTATATATTCATGAAATATTAAACCAGGTTTGGTTGTCAGGTATACCATAGGTTAACACAAATCACTATTCAATTCACCATAATTATGAATACACAAAATATCAAACCAGAATAACTATCTTATCACATCAAATCATTAAATAACCAGTTGGGTACAATCAAGTTGGTACTATGTATGTAATACAAAACTGTCATCCTTACACACATACTTGACTTGTTTCGGATTAGCAGAGATGCTGAAGTTAACTTTGAGGTTATCCAAACGATGTAAATATTGAAATTTTATCCCTATTAGGTTGCCTAGAGTGGCGACCATATGACCCTCACAAGATCAATTTGTGGAAGCTATTGGAGGGAGTTTCCTATTTCAGTTTTATTTTTTTTGTTTTGTATCTTATTATATTGTATGTCTTTTTTTATTGTTTTTTTTTGTAATTAGTAAGTTGTATTAGCGTTTATTTTATTTTGCCCTAGATATTCCCTATATAATGAGTGGAAATGTTGTAATTTGAATATGATGGAATACGAGAAATTAGTTTTTCCACCTTTCTACATGATATTAAAGTCCTAATTTGAACACACAAGAGATAACAACGTTCGTCCTTCTATTTCTCGCAACAAAAGTCTTTGGTTCTCTTTTGTATGCATGAGCAACACTCTCGTCTCACAGTGCTTTAGGGGTTGTGGTTCTCTTGTCTCTTGCAACACCCCCGTAATATTCAAATGGTCCGGTTCTTAGGCAAGTGGCCCAGACGAACTCCTCACAATCAATGATCTTCCCCTCGCTCTAAATCTCACAGTTGCTCGCCTCTACTGTTCAATCGGTTCACGAAAGACAAATCACAGGATCGTGATGCATAGAGACCTCTTCGTTTCGCTCTTCTCTCGTATTTATGAGTCGCAAGCTCCGTTCAAATAGAATCATCCCTGCAGTCGCTGAAATTTCTTCAGCCATCGTGGACCCTCCTTTTATAACACTCAAAATTTGGAAAATCAGGTAAAGTTTGACAAACTTTAACGTACCTCAAATTTCTCATCCTTAGAATTCAATCAAATTATTTTGATAAAATTCTATGCTTTGAACAGTTTGAGAGATAAAATTTTGAAGTTATAAGTATAATTTCCTTAATGTACATTTATTGTTTTTCTAATCCCTTCCCAAATCCCGTCTCTCAACTGTTCACAGCTGATTCCCCACTCGTGCATGCAGTGGTTAATTGAGATAGAACGGCTGTGATCCTTTGGATTTTTCTTAAGTGCTAAACCTTTCTCCCTCCCTCTCACTTATTCGTTTGGAGGATTCCACAAGCTTCTGTATGAAGCTACGCTCGGGCCATTGTAGCGAGGGGTGCGAACTGAGCGACACTAAGGAAGCCACAACTCACGGTAAGGGCTTCCGAGGAGATATTGGTGAATGCAAAACCCCTTTTGCGCTATTTTAGGCATTCATTTCCTTTCTCATACTTGCATTTTGATGTTTGCCTGGATATTATGCATTTTTTCATTTTTGGTAGCCGTAGCAATCGTCGAAATTGTGTCGAAAGTGTCAAAAGTGTCGAACTTGATTTGAGAGCTTTCATAAGTGTTTTAGCATGAAATTAGCGAAGGGAAAGGGAGGATTGAGGTGGTAGGAAGAAGGGGGGAGAAGTTTAGGCGGATCAGAGAAATGTTGGGTTATGCTGAGAAGCCTGTTCGAGATGTGTTGACATTTAAGGCTTGTTTTGGGTTATGAACTAATTTTCATGAATTTCTACGATGTTTATGATTTTCAGGTTGTTTATAGGAGGTGGCAAGCTTGAAACGAGCGTATAGGAACTAGTCGTAGGGTTGCTTTGTCTTGTCAGGTGAAATATTCTTGTGCTAACTTAAGAAAAATAATCTTATATAGGTTTTTGTATGTTTTTTTCCTTGAAACAGATGCATTTATCTTAAATTCTCCTTTATATATATATATATATTGTGAATGAATACCTGCATTGAATCTATGAATGCAAGCTAATTTCTTTCTACGATACATGTGATGTTATTATGCTATGATCATGTTATGATACATACAACTATGCTTATGAAAGTAATTGCTTGCAGATATTCATTTACTATGATTCATGTATATGATATATGAAATTCCTATGAATATTTGTTATAACTATTATGCTTAAAAATATCACAAGGAATGTTATGGGTAGATTTTTATATAAGTGCTTATAAGTGCGCTATCCAGAATGTGCTATTCTTGACTTCTGGTGTTCAAATGACAAAAAAACTCTTGAAATCGTTGTAATCAGATGGTGATAAAACATATGAAACTATTGATATCAGGGGGGCTATTGATAACTGCTATATTAGAGGAGTGGGGGACTAACCTTTATTAATAGTTAATATGGTATTTGGGCTTGAGTGACGACCTATGATGTGACAAGACATGAAATATTTGAGGCATATACATTTACAAGCGACCTTGCTATGATATGATGGGATTGGTATGATGACATTGTTATGATTACATTACTATGAACATTCTTACGATTACATGCTTAAGATGAGATTTTGTTTGGGTAAGCTAGTTTAAGTGGGTTTAATAAGTTAAATATGTTAATTAATGAGTTAATAGGATGATGAACCTGTTGAGGTTTTTGTTTGGGTAAAATTGTGTTAATGAGTGTAGTGAATGTGTTAATTAATAAGTTAATATGATTAGTGTGTTGGTAGTAGGTTCATAGGTTAATTAATGGGCTAATATTGGAGTTGAGTAGGTATAGGTTAGATGAGTTTGAAGGCTTGCAGACTTGGTTTTAGATGGGATTGGTAGATTAAGTTTTGGCCGGATGCATTTTGAGGATAAAAGGTTTTGGTCATGGAAAAAATGGAGGGGAAAATGCTAATTATATAATATAAGGTAAAATAAAGCAAAGCTCTATGATTTAACATGTAAAAGATGAGATATATTAAATACAAGACAAGAAGAACGAAAGCCCTATGGGTTAACATGTAAAAGACAACATATCATGGTAGAATATACAAGACAATAAAAAAGAAACATAATTGATGGTGGAAAATGATGTTAAATATGTAATAACATGAAAGTCATGAAGAGCCACCTAATCATCTTGTGAATTTTAAAGTTGGGCATGCAATAACATGAAGGACATGAAGAGCCACTAAATCACATAGTGAATTTTAAAATTAAACATGTAATAACATGAAAGACATGAAAAACCACTAAATTATATTGTGAATTTTAAAATTAAACACGTAATAACATGGAAGATATGAAGAATCATTGAATTACATGGTGAAATTTCAAATTGGGAGAGGGAAAAACAATGTTACCCCTTGCTTTGATTTGAGTATCTTTCTTGCTTTTCTTTGTTTCCCCCTTGCTTTCCTCTTGATTCCCTTGGAGTTCCTCTCAGTTTTGGAACAAAGAAAAGGGAGAATGAAGTCCCTGTTTGGTGAGGGAAAGGGAAGGGGAGAGGGCTCAGTTTGTAGTTGAGAGGGAGAGAATTTCGAGGGAATGGGGGGAAAGAGAGGGGGTCACTGTTTTAGTGGAGTTAGTGGGGTGGTTATGTGGTGAGGTGGAGGACTGGAAGGCTAAAATGAAGGGAGGAAGTTAAGGGAGGGAAGAGGGAGGATATTAATGACATGGAGGAGAGAGAGATGGATGGGGTCA